TTCCTTCCCAGGGCTAAATGGATGTTTACTTAACTTTTCCTGGATTCCAACTTCAAGCTTAGCTCTATACGTATGTATACTATGAAAGGCATTTTGGAAACCTATTGGATCCATCAATTTCAGAAATGGGCTCTGATAGATCAGTTGCATCAAGCTTTGAATCATTGGTTGAATTTCTGTTTCTGCACTTGATTAAATGCTTTATTTTTCATCAGTGCTTCGGTGCTTTCTCATTTTTATTACAAATACTATATTTTCCGGCGTATAAGATGACTTTTTAACACATGAAAATCTTCTCAAAAGTCAGGGGTCCTCTTATACGCCGGGTGTCATTCTCCTGTAACCAGGCAGACCAGCCCGAAAAACTCTGACGAGCCTTAAATGGCTCTGGCGATCCACGCTCTGATGATCCCAGCTTTGCCTGCTAATCAGGCAACTCAGCTGGGATGCCAGAGCCATGTAAAAGGAAAAAACTTTTTTTCTTTTACGTGGCTCTGCAAGCTCTGACGATCCCAGCTGAGTTGCCTGCCAATCAGGCAACGCAGCTGGGATCGCCAGAGCCATGATCCAAGCTCTGACAATCCCAGCTGAGTTGCCTGCCAATCAGGCAACTCAGCTGGGATCGCCAGAGCCCTGTAAAAGAAAAAAAGTTTTCCCCCTCCAGCTTGCTTACCTTAGCTGCTAATTGCAACGCTTGCCTTGCTTCGCTTGCCTGAATCCATTCCATCAGCAAGCCACTCCCTGCCTGCAATCAAGCAGGCAGGAGTTGTGGACTTCAACTCCCAGAATTCCTCAGCCAGCAAAACAAAGCTAGCTGAGGAATTCTGGGAGTTGAAGTCTACAAGTCTTAAAGTTGCCAAGGTTGGAGACCCCTGTTCTATTGGGTAAGGTTTTTTCCCCTTTGGGAGCTTTAAAAAAAATAGTTAATTGGGGTTTTTTTTAGTTGTTCTTTTTTAGACCTAGCCATTTAAAATTTAGGAAGTTTTAAATTTAGTTTTCATATAAAAATAAAAATAAAATAATATTTGTGCAGCCTCCTGAGATTTAGTGTGTTTCTGTAGTGTTTCACTCTAACTACACAAACACACAAAATCTCACAAAGCTGTATGTGGAATTTTGTGTGTGTGAAGTATGAAAGTTGTTTTTTGGGCTTTTTGTGGCTGTGTGAGGTTCCTGCTTTTTGCAGGGGCCATTTTGGGTCTAGCACAGCTGCTTTTACATTGTGGGTGAGCCAGTTGTGTTGTGCTGTGTGTGTGTAAAGTGTGAAAGTTGTTTTTTTGGGCTTTTTGTGGCTGTGTAAGGTTTCTGCTTGTTGCAGGGGCCATTTTGGGTCTAGCACAGCTGCTTTTATATTGTGGGTGAGCCAGTTGTGTTGTGTTGTGTGTGTGTAAAGTGTGAAAGTTGTTTTTTTGGGGCTTTTTGTGGCTGTGTGAGGTTCCTGCTTGTTGCAGGGGCCATTTGGGTCTAGCACAGCTGCTTTTACATTGTGGGTGAGCCAGTTGATGTTTTTTAATTTTTATTTGGTGTGCATTGGAAGAGGGGTAGTCTTATATGGTGAGTATAGCCCAAACCCTATATTTTAACAGGAAAAGTCGGTGGTCGTCTTATACGCCCAGTCGTCTTATACGCCGGAAAATACGGTAATGTACAAAATCTACTACTTTATTCTCTGCTTCTTTTCTTTCATTTCTGAGGTAAAGAGAAGCAAAAGGAAGTGTCTGGATTAAATTTAGAATTAATCTACTCCTTAAACACTCAAAGAATCATTTGGACCCATTTCCCACAGAAAAGAAATCACCGGGAGCCATAAAACCTAGGCGGGTATGGCCAGCTCAACGTCACTCACTTCCACCCAGTCATATGACTCCCCCAAGCCATGCTTACCCAGGTTTTGTGGCTCCTGGTGTTTTCTTTTCTGTAGGAAACAGTATCTCTCTCTCCCTGTCTCTTTCTCTCTGTCTCTCTGTCTCTCCCTTTGGCTTTTTTTTGCTGAGGTTGTTCTTTCTTCTTCTTTGGGTACTTTTTACCATATTTATATCAAGAGCCATTTCAGGTTCCCAGATAAATGAAGCTCTTTCATCCCCCTGCTGTGGCTCCCTGTCAGCTGAACCCACCACTGGCTGGCCCCGCTCCTCGCTCTCCCCTCCCAGTCACACCTCGTCTGGCCTGAGAAGGTAAGGGCGACGGCGGGTGATGGAGACTCACTCCATATTCCAGAGTGGGAGCGAAGCACCCCTGTACTTGCCATATCTTGCAGGCACTTCTTCCAGGGCCAGCCAGTGATGGGTTCAGCGGACAGGGAGCCACAGGTTGCAGACACCTGATCTATCTGATGAAATCTCTGCTCCATAATAGGAGAGACTACAGAATCGGAATCTGAATAGAGTTGGAAGGGACCTTGGAGGTCTTGTAGTCCAGCCCCCTGTTCAAGCAGGAGATCCTATACCATTTCAGACAAGTGACTGTCCAGTCCTTTCTTAAAACCTCCAGTGATGAAGCACCCATGTCCGAAGGCAGACTGTTCCTCTGATTAATTGTCCTTACTGTTAGAAAGTTTCTCCTTAATTCCAGGTTGCTTCTCCTTTATTAGTTTCCATCCATTGTTTCTTGTCTTGCCCTCTGTTGCTTTGGAAAATAAATTGACCCACCCTCCTCTTTGTGGCAGCCTCTCAAGTGCTGGAATACTGCTATCATGTCAATCCTAGTTCTTCTTTTCTCTAGAATAGCCAAACCCAAATTCTGCAACTGTTCTTTATATGTTTTAGTCTCCAGGCCTTTAATCATCTTAGTTGCTCTTGTTTTCACTTTTCCAACATCTTTTTTGTAATGTGGCGACCAAAACTGGATTCAGTATTCCAGGTGTGGATTTACCAAGGCTTTATAAAATAGTAATAATAGTTCATGTGATTTTGACTGTATGCCTCTGTTTATATATCCAAGGCTTATATTAGCTTTTTTGGCTGCTGCTGCACACTGCTGCTTCATGTTTAAGTGATCACCCTCTAAGACTCCAAGGTCCGCCTCACAGTTACTGTTTTTTGAGCCAGGTTTCACCTAAACTGTACTTGTACCTTTAGCTTTTCCTGCCCAGATGTAAAACCCTGCTTTTCTCCACATTAAATTTTATTTTGCTGGATAGAACCCATTGTTCAAGTCTGTCAAGATATTTTTGGATCCTGAGCTTGTCTTTTGGGATGTTCCTGCCTGCTTAGCGTCATCTGCAAATTTGATGAGTTCCCCCTCTAGTCATTCATCTAAGTTTTTAATGAAGATATTGAAGAGTACTGGGCCTAATATGGAACCCTGTGGCACCCCACTGCTTCCTTCTTTCCATGTGGATCTAGTATCATTAAGGATGACTTGTTAAGTATGGTTTGTCAGCCAGTTACAAATCCATCTTTGGTGATGCTGTCTATCCCACATTTTTCTAGCTTATCAAGAAGTAGGGACCTGTCAAATAAGTCTCACTTAGCAACATAAATTTTGGGCTCAATTCTGGTCCTAAGTTGAAGACTACCTGTAATTAGATTTTACTGAAGACAACTATCTACACAAAGGAAGCCAATTTCAAAAGGAAAAATACAGTGTTGCTTTGTTTTAGGGCTATAAATATAGGGTTGTACATGATTCATGGCATCTTTTCATGCTATAATTATAATTGCACTTACTTATATTCCTACCTCCTCACATTTTATTGCGAAACAAGGGACAAATATTTTTATGGAAATACAAACACACAGAATGAATGAAAGTTTAATTTTTGTTTGTAATGTGTATGTATGTGTGTACACTTATTGTTTTAGGTACAGGCTTGTAAAACCTGAGGCAAAACTAAAGGGTATTCCATTATCAGGATATAATGGTATGTGGGAATACCTTGGGAGATAGAAGGGACACAACTAGGGGAGTAGTCTTAACCTGCAGCCATCATGCAAAAGGGACAAGGGGCTCAAAAGGAATCTTCCCTAGTTTCTTGGGCTGTAAAGGAGATGGGTGGGAAGAGAAATGTACTTTCAAACTTGCAAGATTCTGTTAATGTAAACTTACAACAACATAGAATTAGCTCATCAGGCCAAGCTTCCTATCTATCTCGCAAGGCAGCCTGAAAAGATTACAAGTGAGAACTGGCTGGCTGGCTGGTTAGGCCATAGACCAAAAAGGATAAGCACTGATTAATTGATAATTGTCTGAAAACCTTGAAGTCAGAAACAAGCAAATATGACTGCATTCAATGTCTTGATAGCTTCAAATAATCAAAATGACCTGGATTAGTCTCAGATGTATGTATTTTTAAATTGGGTTGAGAAGATTGGGGAAACAAAAAGGCCAGACATCAGGAAAAGTCTGATAAGAACTAAGTTCTTTTCAAGTGAAATGTTGGATCCTTAGAAGTACTAGGCAGTAATATGAAGAATCTACATTGTAACTTCTATGACTGAAATCACAAGATAAACATGTTCCTCCTCCCTGGAGGATCCCTATTATCGTAGAGAGTTTTGAATACTTTATTTCTCACCCCATAAGAGGAAAATGGTTCATATTTTCTTCTCCTAATCAGAATTCCAGTCACATTCATTTGCTTATATGATTACTGAAAAGATTCAGCTGTTGCCACAATAAATATTTAGGATTTTATTTCAAATAATGTGCATCTCTATAACATATGTTCTTTTCCTTACATGTCTGCTATAACAAAAAGAAAATATCTTATGGTACTTTAAATATATAAGGAAAAGAACATATGTAAGTCATTTTTTTTGTTTTACTTTACCTTTTTGTTTTACTTTGTTTTTACCGTTTTACTGAAAAATTAATTGTAAGAAGTGAGATTAGCAACAATGTCCTTTGCCATTCTTAAACATACCACAAGATACTCAACAGATTGGAAAGTCCTCTTAGTAAGAATGTGCCAGTATGGGACAATGCATGTTGAAATACAAAGTTTGAAATGAAATTTTAATGTCATGCTTCACAATATATCTTTATCCATTCCCTTATAGAAAACAGTTCAAGAAACAAAAAGAGTGTCAACTCTGAAACTGATCAAGCCCACAGCAGCCATCTTCCGTTTCTCAAATTGCCACACAGCTCAGGGAGGGAGGAGAGGAATGGAATGCAAACTAGCCAAAACAACCTACTACATCCTGGGAACCAAGGTTGCTTCCAACAGGTGCTGGACAGAGAATCATCAAGGAGATGCAAGGACACCCAAATTAGACAATGTGATCCGTGACACTAGGGAGGGAGGAATTTCTAATGTTTGTATGCTGAAACTGTGGGAAATAACTAGAGCTGGTTTTAGGATTATTTGTGCTGAAATGATGTACTCAATAAAGCAATTCTTTGAGGAAACGGAAAGTCTCGGAGTGCTGACTCATTTGGGTTCATTAGTTGGAACCTTGACAGAGTAAAAAATAGTTATAATGAATACCATGGGATACAGTTTGAAATTGGCAGAATTTATTTGTAAAAAAAAATCAGCTTTTTGATATATAATATTTATCATTTTGATATTTAATATTTAATTTATCATTGTATAAATACCATTGTACCAAAATAATGTAATGTATTATTTTTGTTTTAAAATAGTAAAATAAAATGCCTCCTGTCTATACAGGCAATTTCCTAGTTACAACAGTTCACTTAGTGACCATTCAAAGTTATTCGAGCCCCTTGTTACTCCCATATAACACCTCTCCTGCGTGAGCTGCACTGGTTACCAGTGGTTCTCCGGGTCCGCTTCAAGGTGCTAGTCCTCACCTATAAGGCCCTTCATGACTTAGGTCCGGGATATTTGCATGACCTTCTCCTGCCTGCCTCTCACCGTCCTGTTCGCTCACATAGGGCCGCTCTCCTCAGGGTTCCGACGGCGAGCCAATGTCACCTTGCTGTGCCCAGGGGTAGGGCGTTCTCTGTGGGTGCTCCCACCCTCTGGAATGAATTACCTACTGAGCTCCTGATCTCCGCTCCTTCTGTCGGGACTTGAAGACTTGGCTTTTCAAACAAATAGGCTGAGACTGATTCCGGGCTTTATTATTTACTACTAATTAATTATTTGGATTAAATTATGATTTTATTGTACTTGTTTCTTAACTTGTGTTCACCGCCCTGAGTCCTTCGGGAGAATGGCGGCATATAAATACATGTAATAAATAAATAAATAAATTACAACCTAGCAACCCCCCCCCCCAGTACTTATGACCCAGTCCCAAAGTTATGAATGTTGCGACACCACAGCTGTCATTTACCCATATGAACGACAGCAGAGACACTGCACTATTTGCCCTGCCTATTCCCCACCCCATCCAGCTGGGACTTATCTTGTGATGATCTAGTAAACCTGCTTTGGTGCATTTGCAGAAAACAGAGGCCTAAAAGTAGTGAGAGATCACACAAGATCAGTAGCATAAAATTTCACATTACTGATCTCATGTGATCTCACGCTACAGGGATACTTCATGCTTCCTCTCCTGGGGCCCCACAATTGCTGTCTCCACCCCCTCCTGCCACGCCGGGGGTCAGAGGAGGCCTTGGGTGGTCTGAAGCAGGTGGCCTGTTCCATTGAGCGAAACCCTAAGCTACAAGTCTGGCCTTGTACAATGACTCACCATTTGACTTCTTTTTTATTCTGTAGACCCATGGAGTGCCAATGACCTTTTTTGTTTGCTGGAGGTTTTGCAGGCATAAACACTTTAAGTTTCTTTAGACTGTCCATTTCAACCTGCATTGCTTCATACCATTTGTCTTGCTCTGAATCAGGAAGATGTTTGATTTGCGTGAACGTATCAGGTGGAAGTGTAACATTGCAAATCAAAGGCAAGGGTGCTTTTGTCAGTTGCCAAGAATATAGTTGTGGAGGGATCCCTTTTGTGGCCCTCTTGGAACGTCTCAGAACAACTGTCCATTCTTCTTCTGCTTCGTCCTCGTCCTCACATTCGTCGCTAGCGTCAGCATCCGCAGCTTGCGAAGATGGAGCATCAGGTTGAGAAGAACTAGTGGAATCTTGATCATCAATCTGTGCGGCATCAGCAGTATCATCTCTAGGAAAATAAACTCCAGGATCATTGGAATGAATCCTGGACCAGTCAACATCTTCCTCAAAATTAGCAGATTGGAAAATCACAATTACATGTCTGGAGTCAATAAATTTGCTCCATTTTGAATTATCATCAATACCCATAAATCTCAATCTCTTTGCTGCTGGACCTCCTTTTCTTCTTTGAGCTAAGGGAATGTTCACCATAGCATATGAACCAAAAATATGGATGTTTTTGAGATTGGGCTTGTAGCCATACAACATGAAGAAAGGAGTCTGATTTATTACACTGCTCCAAGTACGATTGACAATGTAATTTGCATATTTGATAGCTTTACCCCAGTATGGTTTACTAAGGTTGGCGTCTTCTAGGAGACAACGCATCATGGTTTGCAGGACTGTGAATGAATTCAGCACCACCATCACTCTGGATTCTGGCAATGCGAACTTGGTGTTGGGTAGAAACAAGAGCAGCAAAGTCTCTAAAGATCTGAAAAGTCTCAGATTTTTCTTTCATAGGATATACATATCCATATCTAGAATAATTATCAACAATTGTTAAAAAATATTTTCTACCACCAAGTGTTGGCGGAAAAGGACCAACTATGTCAGTGTGAACCAAATCAAAAATGCATGTTGACAGGCGTGTAGCGCATTTGGGAATGGCTGCTGCTTTGGATTTGGCCTTTTTGCATTCAGCACAATCCAAAAACACCTTACACCCCTTTAGATCCAAACCTTTTGCGAACTCCGGCATTTTCCTAAGAACACGGAAACTGGCATGCCCCAATCTTCTATGCCATTTATGGATACACCTGGAATGCAAAGGTTTACCAGTTAGTGAATTCTCAACATTAACATTTTTATGAGGAACCTCAGGCTTGCTCTGAGCAACCTGTTTCCTAATTTTCTTTTTGTTGGCTTTAGGAGCTTTTGGAGTAGCAACAGGATCTCTCTCTGGAGCATCTCTCTCTGGGCCTCTGCTCTCCCTTTTTGGAGTTTGTATACTTGCCTGTGTTTGCGATTTAGGCTTTGGCTTTAAGTAATAAACACCACCAATTAACATGGTTTCAGCAACAATATCTCCATCTTTAACTATGTAACTTGCTTTTTCAAGGTGGTGAACCTGGAACTTTAACATTCTAGACAAGTGACTCTGACTAAGCAAATTACTAGTTGCTGTTTGTATATAATAAACATCAGGAATGAATGCATTGAGCTCTTCAACATAAACAGTTCCTTTTCCTTTGACCTGGCAAGGATGATTTGAAAAAGAATAAAGTTCACGTAGTTCAGGTTCAGGCTTGTGCATCTCTGTGAAAAGTTCTTTTCTGTAGGTAACATGCAATGCTGCACCACTGTCCAAAGTCCACAGGAGTCATCTGTCGTACTCTGGTTGACATTGTGGATCATTGGTTAAAGCCAATGTGGCGAGTGGAGCTTACGAATTACGCCTGGGACCACGATGACCTTGTCTTCCACCTCTGCCTCTGCCTCTGGAGTCTGTTCCTCTGGGCTGGTACGAGACGGGAGCTGGAACTCGTTGGGGACAATCCTGGGTGGCATGTCCCACACGATTACAGATGTTGCATCTTGGCATCCTTGGAGCGTAGGCTCTTCCTCGGAAGGGACGCCTAGCTGGAGCTCTTGATGCAGGTGGTCCTCTCAAATGTGGCGTAGCTAACATAAGTGCTTCTTCTTCAATTAAAAGTCTGCATACATTGTCCACTGTGCGTTGAGCAATAGGCACTAGATTAATCTTTGTAATGGCATCTTTCCATTCATAATTCAATGAGTTAATAATAATGCTGATCATTTGAATATCATCAATATTATAGCCTCTTTCTCTCAATTCCCTTCTGATTCCTTTCAGTTTGGTCAAATGTCCTCCAATTTGTTCACCAGGTTTCAATCTCGAACCATGGAACTCAGACATGAGCAAACATGAAGATTCAATTGAAACAGGCCTGTAGCAATTTTCCAATTGGACCCAAATTTGTTGGACTGTTGCATCAGGCGGAAAGGTAACCTGCAGTTCCGTATCCATGGACATCAATAATGTTGTGCAAGCTTTAGTCTCTAAGTCTCTTATTGCAGGAGTCCATGGCTGAGCAGGAGGATTAAAAACCATACAGTGAGTACCTTCTCTACGAAGTAACAATCCCATCTCACTGACCCAGGCCTTATACTTCTGTCCTGACATCTTTAATTTGGACTCACCAGCTAGTGGAGCAACAGAAAATACCTGGTGAGGAACATGCATTTGGTATGCTGGCTGTGCCGGTAAAAATATCTGTGGTATTTGCTGTGCTTGTTGCATTTGAGCTGTTGTTGTGTTCCATCTAAAAGGACACCAGCACCACCAGGTGCTGAAGATTGAGCCTGTGGAGACACTTGTGGCATTGGAATCTGAATATCTGAGTAAGTTAAGGACATCTCTGATAAAGTCTTCTGCAACAATTGTAATTGCTCTCTCAAGATGCGGTGCATTTCAGCTTTCTCTAGTGAATTACTTTCGCCAGCAGATGGTGCTGCAACTTTAGTTTTAGGCAGCTCAGGTAATCTTTCTGCATACGTGGCACTTGTAATTTGAAAATAGGAACGATCATGTGACAAATGTGACATGTGCACAGCTCTCTGTTCTGATTGGCCTGACACAAAATCCACCAGGGGGTGTGTCTTTGGCTCCGAAGGAGAAGGCAAAATGGCCTTTTCAGAGATTTCAAAAACACGAGACTTTCTCTTATCTTGCTCAAACATAGATAAAGCCATTTTTGCCTGGGATAGCTCATGTTCAAAATTTTCAATTTGATCACGATAGTTTCTTATAGCTAATTCATTAGGAGTGATCCTGAAGGTTTGAGGAGGATAATAAATTGTTTCTCTCTCTGCGTGGGAGGGAAAATGCTTCGCCATTTGTGGAAACTTTGGCTTTGCACCAAGCGTTTCAAATTCAGGTTCTGGAAGGACAGTTTGAGAGCATGCATAATTGGAAGGGGGCATTACTGACCTCAGTCGTAGTGCTTCGCCTTCAAAAGCAGCTCTTGTATTATCTTCCTCCTGAAGCTTCTTGTCTGTTTCTTCTCCTCCTCCTTCTAGCTGAGTGGCTGATGCCAGGGGCTGGAATCTTGAGGGTCTTTCTATCTCCTCTTCATCCGAAGAGGATAAAGCTCTGGGCTTCATTTTGCCGTTTTTCTTCTTTCTCAGCATTTTTGCAAAAATAATTAGCTTACCTCAGTAGCTAAAAACTAATTGCCTATGCGATTATCATCAAAAGTAACAAGCAAGGAAAAAGCCATAAATCAACAATCCTCTG